CAAAGACCACAGCCTTCAGTATGGTTTACACCTCAATATAAAGAAAACAGAAGTCGTCATAACTGGACCAATAAGCAGCATCATGATAAATACAGAAATATTGAAGTTGTAAAGGATTTCATTTTACTTGGATCCACAATCAATGCCCATGGAAGCAGCAGTCAGGAAATCAAATGACACATTACATTGGGCAAATCTGATGCAAAAGACCTCTTTAAAGTGTTAAAAAGCAAAGAAGTCACTTTGAGGACTAAAGTGTGCCTGACCCAAGCCATGGTGTTTTCATTTGCTTCATATGCATGCAAAAACTGAACAATGAGTAAGGCAGACCAAAGAATTGATGCCTTTGAATTATGGTGTTGGCAAAGAATATTGAATATACAATGGACTACCAGAAGAACCAACAAATCTGTCTTGGAAGAAGTACAGCCAGAGTGCTCCTTGCAAGCAAGAATGGCAAGACTTGGTCTCACGTACTTTGGACATGGTATCAGGAGGGACCAGTTCCTGGAGTAGGACATCATGCTTGGTAGAGTAGAAGGTCAGCGAAAAACAGGAAGACCCTCTACAAGATGGATTGACACAGTGTTTGCAACGGTGAGCTGGAGTATGGCAGCGATTGTGAGGATGGTGCAGGACCAGCCAGTGTTTCGTTCTGTTGTACATAGGGTCACTATGAATTGGAACCAACTCGATGGCAGCTAACAATAACAAAGGGACCACCATGGGGTTTGATGATGGTTCAGTCATAGAATTGTCATGTTCCATATAGGAATTCAGGTTCTAGCCAATGTACCTCAAGCACAGCCACCACCCATCTGTCAGCTATGATGCTGAACAGGTTTTAGTAGAGCTTCCAGACTAAGACTATGAAGAAAGACCTGGTGATCTACTTCCAAAAATCAGCCAGTGAAAACCTTAAGGATCACAGCAGACCGATTCCATTTTGCATGGGGTCGCCATGAGTTAGGGGTTGATTCAGCAGCAACTGACAACAACAACTATAAGGACCACCACAGAATAGGGTTGAGTGATCAAGAAGGCTGGACTTCAAGCTCCCAGTCTTTGTCCTTTTTTTAACAAGTTTTACTTCTCTATTTTATGTTTTATATATTGGTGTTTTACCTGGCATTGTATTTGGGATGGGTGGAGGCTGGTGGGGAAAAAAAATCCATAGCTAAATGTTTGAACACCATTATTCTACATTGTTACTGCTACAGCCCTCCTGAGCCACCCTCATCTCTTACCTGCGTTATTGCAGTATCCTCTGAATAGGTCTTTTGGCTTTGACCTTTGCACCCTATAGTCTGTTTTCAATATAGTGGTCAGACTTATCCTCTTACAAGGTTCTTTTCAAAACCTTGTAATGGCTCCCCCTTTCCTAAGAGTAAAAGCAAGTCCTAGAAAAATTATCTAGAAGGTCCTGTATCATTTGGGTCCCTGGTAATTCTCTGACCTTCTTGTCTTCCACTTTCCCCTTTGCTTACTTTGCTGTGGTTACACTGGCCTTCTTTCTGTTCCTAAAACGTGTCAGCCATGTACCACCTTAGGACCTTTGCCTTACTTTGTTTGTTTGTTTTATTTTGTTTTTAAATTGAGGTAAAATTCGCAGAACATAAAATCAACTATTTCAAAGAATACAATTCAGTGGTATTTCGTACCTTCACAGTGTTATATAACCACCATATTTATCTAGTTCCAAAACATTTCTATCATCCCTAAAGGGGACTCCACATGCATTAAGCAGTCACTCCCCGTTCCCTCTTCTGTCTGCCCCTGGCAACCACTAGTTGGCTTTCTGTCTCTATGGATTTACCGATTCTGGATATTTCATATAAATGGAATCATACAATATCTGACCTTTTGTGTCTGGCTTCTTTCACTTAGGTAATGTTTTCAAGGTTCATCTACATTGTAGCACATATCAGAACTTCATTCCTTTTTATGACTGAATAATATTCCATTGTATGGATATACCACAATTTATGTATCCATCCATCCATTGGTGGACATTTGAGTTTTCCATCTTTTGGCTATTGTGAATAATGCTACTATGAACATTTGTGTACAAGAGTTTTTCGACTGCCTGTTTTCAATTCTTTTGAATATAAACGTAGAATCAGACTTGCTGGGACATATGATAATTCTATGTTTAACTTTTTGGGGAGCCACCAAACGGTTTTCCACAGAGGCTGCACCATTTTACTTTCCCACCAGCACTTACCTTGGTTTTCACATCCTCACCTCCTTCAAGTTTTTGCTCAGATTTCACTTTCTCAGTAAGATCTACCCTGATAACCCTATTTAACCATGTAACCTGCTCCTATCTCCAACCATTAGCACCCTTCTCTTCCTTGCCCTGCTTGCTTATTTCCCTACATGTGATCTCTTTTTTAGGTACATACATAATGTTTCATTACACTTACTGTCTCATATACATAGAAACGCTTCCTCTTCCCTAAATCGTAGGACCTGCTCAGCTCAACAGTCCATCAGACAGCTGTCATTGCCAAAGTATGTATACTTACTTACAGGAAAAATAAATTTCAGGCATTCATTAAAACTTGGTGACATCGTGGTTGAGAACCATCTGCTGAATAACCAGGATGCAGTTTCATTATTTGAAATTATTTTGTGGATTTGGGTTTCCTTCAAAGGCATCTCACAAGTATAGCAAATTATACATAATTTTCCATATTTAACAAATGCTAATTGAATGATATTTTTCAAACTAGCAACATTATCCTAAAATATAAGCAACATGAGTGACTGTATGTTGAAATGTAATAGCATCCTAAAATGTGTTTTTTGTTGAAAATGTTGAATTGTAATAGCATCCCAAAATGTGTTTTTGTTGTCTTCTGCTTGTGACACAATTGGAGCATAAGGACATGATTGTTTTCAAGCTGTTTCCCTAAGACTCTGTCATTAAGGGAAAGAGCAAGAGAGTGCATTTTGATGAGATTTATTCATAGCTAACTCCATAGAACACTCAGACGTGGGTATAATCCCATGAAACACGGGGAGTTCAGGCTGGCATCTGTACCCACCTTCAGATGTGCTGTCGGAGCAGCAGGAGAAGAATTAGCTTGAACCGTCAATTCATAACCTGTTTTTAAATAGGTCTCCTGACATAAGTGTCTTCATTTTTAAAAGCTCAATGTTTGATTTCTTCAGCTTTCTTTACATTTTTTTCTATAATCCTTCCCTTTTTTAACTCAAGTTTAAGAAGCAACTGAGACCATTCTCTTTCTAAAAGCATCCAGTGTTGTTTATGCCAATTTGCCAAGGCTCTGGATGTTCTCAGAAGTGCAGTGATGCCCATGGATTACTAGGCAGGAAAAAGTAAAAAATATTTTGAGGTCCTAAAGTAAGAGATAAAAATAAAAGCTTTGTTTGTGATGTTTGAATATTGTTTCTGTTAAACCCAAGGACTCAAAGTAGGGTTTAAAGGTAGTTAATGTATTTTATGAAAAGGGAACAGAATTAATAGGAAGAAAGTTAAAGAAGATTCCCCACATTTTGGAAGCAGACCAGGGTCTAGGACTGATTATGCTTCTTCAGCTGGAAATGCAGCCTAGTTGTAGCTGGCTTCCTGAATAACAAGAGAAGCAGGCATTGGAGGGCCTGTTCCTTACAGGATTTTTTTTTTTTTTTTTTTGACATATTGTTAAATCCCCTCCTTCCATCCAACAGAGCAAGTACTTAATCAGAAAAAGAAGAGACCAGTCTTCATAATGTTTGGAAGTTCATTTCATGGTTAAGTGAGACTGTTTGAGTATCTAGTTTTTAAAACACAGCCCTGGAATGAGAGGTGATAGCAGTCAGAATTAATCTCTTTGTTCTCTTTGTCCCATAGATTCTTCCATCACATCATAATTTGCCTTATAATCTATTTATTTGTGCCCATTTCTGGCTCTCCCACTATCTAGAAAGCTCTCTGCAGACACTGATTGATAAGCCTATATCCTCCCACAGTACCTTGCACCACACTAAGATTGGGATTAAAGAAAATACCAAAGACCTTGGGAACCAACTCTATTCAGAAAGGCTGTTATCTTCCCTATCACAAGGCACTTGGGAAAATTAATTCTTATAATACAATTAGATGCCCTTAAACACTCTGGTTTGTCGTGATTCCAGTGTATTTATGTTTAAATTTGTCTGTCTTTCCTTCTTTTTTTTCGTCTATAGGACACAGACCGCAGTTTTAGTTGTTTGAGTTTAGATGAGCTGAGTTACAGGAAACGTGAAATGTGATGCACTGTGACTGTTTTTCTTGAGTGCTCTTTCTTTAACAGAAGCAGACCTTGGGAAGATTTGTTACAAGATAACCGTATACTAATAGGTAGAAACAGAAATGACTATGAAAACCAGATGTTTTGTCTGGGCCTCTGTTCAGAAACAGGGTTTCAGTGTTGGCATGCATAATTTTTCTCTTGTTTACCCACATTGATTAAAGGACACTTATCTGGTGGCATGCCCATTTACTGGGTGCAGTCCTCATTTGCATGCTCTTACCATGAGAGTTTCTACAGACCATGATATTTCTGTTGGCAGTTTAAGTTTATTACTTCAGAAATTGTCATATTGGAAATACAGGATATGAGCAATATTTATTTGTATTTAAAATTACTGGGGGGAGTTGTTAGACAATACCTAGTTTCCTGACATTAGCAAGAGGCTTTACAGACTTTCCCCCTAATTTTCAAGGACAGATTTTATTACTCATACATCTTAACTTATTATTATTGTAGGGTTTTTATTTGCTTTAATTTAGAAAATTCCAGGCTTATTTTGACTTTATAAGACTCCAAACTCTTTTCCTTTGAAAGTATCCAAAAGATCTTATTTGTGGTTCTGATCCTAGACTGATTTGGTTTGCTTTAGAATCTAAACCACTTAAATAAAGGGAAAGAAAGAATTGATGGTAGAGTTTTAATTTTGGTCTCTTTTAATGCTATATAGTCTAATTTATGTCCTGGTACATTTTCCCACAGGTTCACATTCAGCTCTTGGAGTGGCACCGTGCAGTATTTCTCCCACAGGCCTGGCTTGCATATATGAATCGAGCATATCATGCCATTTTACAGGTGATGAAACCATAGAATGGTTTGCTTTTGCGGACTGTCTCCTTCTTATCTCAGATTTAATGCAACTATTTTTTTTAATATCGAAGCACATGGGAAAATAGCATTACCAAAAATATGATGGTTATTTTCACCCAGAAAAGAATGTGTGAGGCCTACGGGTAGTTGCGCTGAAAATTTACATGCTGATATCTCCCAGATCTGTGTCTTCAGTCCAGAGCTCCCCCCTTGAGCACTGCTCTCCTGTGTCCCACTGCCTTCTGAATGTCTCCACTTGGCTGTTGCATGGCCAGCTTGAGCACGTCTCAAGCTAAGCTCAGCATCATCCCTTGTACCTATGCCTCCTCAAACTGGACTTGTTGGACTTGCTTAACCCTTCTTCTGAATTTTATGTGCTAGCCTTACTAAGGAGTCCTGGTGGCGCATTGGCTAAGCGTTCAGCTGCTAACCAAAAAGTCCACAGTTCGAATCTACCAGCCACTCCTTGGAAACCCTATGGGGCAGTTCTACTCTGCCCTATAGGGTCATTATGAGTCTGAATTGACTCGACAGCAACGGGTTTGATTTATTTTGTTTTAGGCTTACTAAATGCCTTTCTTTTCCCAAACTCAGCATGCCTTCCCTAACCTCTTGGTGTATACACATACTGTTCCCTCTATCTCAGACCATTTCCATTCTCTCTTTGCCCATCTAATTTTCTACTTGTTCTTAAGATTAGTTTACCTGGGAAGGTACCCGTGTCCCTTCACCCCACTCCCCACTGAATCATTCGACCCTCTTATGTGCTTCCTTAGTGCCCAGGCCTCTCCTTTGAAGCTCTTATCACACTGGCGATGTTTCTGGGGCCTCCGGTTGTCTCTCTGTTCCCAGAGGGCAGGAGCCGTGTTTTCTCCTCTTTTGTCTCCTGGAACGTGACAGAGTGTCTAAAACATAATGGATACTCACTAAATACATGCAACATACTCAGTATGACTTCATTTAGTCCAATAACAAGTTATAGTTTGTGATTTTTTAATTTAGAAATAATTTTAATCTGGGAATGTATGAACAGTTAACGATAAAGGAAAACAGCTAGCTCAACCCTTTTCTGTAGCTTAAAATTAATCGTTAAAGATGACCAAAGGGGAAAAAAAATCTGATGATACTTAAGCAATTTATGGCCCAGAGTAAGATTTTCATGGAGTCTCAGGAAGTATGATATTAAATAAAACATCTGTAATATAAAGTGGGGTGGAAGGGTGGGAGTGGTGGGGAGGGTGATTACAAGGTGTGGGGGAATGACTGAGTTTCTAGACACTGGGGTGTTCCAACTGACATTAAAACCTTGCTGCAACATAACTTACTGAGTCTAGAATTTATAAAACTAATACATCTTCAAAGATTCTGATTAATTAGAACTGAGTAGTGGATGAGGAATCTGCATGTCTAACAAGTTGCCAGGTTATTTATTTATTTATTTTTTATTGTGTTTTTAGTGAAAGTTTACACAGCAAGTTAGGTTTTCATTTGACAATTTCCACACAAATTGTTCGGTGACATTAAAAAAAGCAAACCAAACCTGCTGCTGTTGAGTCGATTCTGACTCATAGGCACCCTATAGGACAGAGAAGAACTGCCCCATAGGGTTTCCAAGGAACAACTGGTGGATTCGAACTGCCGACCTTTCGGTTAGCAGCCTAGCTCTTAACCACTGCGCCACAAGGTCTCCTCAGTGACATTAGTTACATTTTTTACAATGTGTCAACATTCTCTTTAACTGTGTTCTGATTGTTCCATTTCAGTACTCTGGTTTCCCTACTTCCTTATCTTCTAATCTTTGCTTTAGAGTAAATGTTGACCTTTCGGTCTTATACAGATGGTTTGTAATATCCTTCATTTTGTGAGGCACTCTGCTATTTCACTAAAAGGTAAATCAGGAGAGAGTTTCGGTTCAAGATTTAAAGAGCGTCTCAGGGCGATAGTCTCAGGGAGTTTTCCGGTCTCAACTGGTCTACTTAACCTGGCCTATTTTAAGAATTTGAGTTTTATTCTACATTTTTCTCCCATTCTGTCTGGGACTATCCATTGTGACCCTGGTCAGAATTGTCTGATAGTAGCTAGGCACTATCTAGTTCTTCTGGTCTCAGGGTAGATGAGGTTGTGGCTCATGTAGGCTGTCAGCCTTGTAGAGTTGTTTCTTCTCTGAGATTTTGGTTACCTTCTTACTGTTTTTCTCCTGACAAGTAGAGACCAATAGTTGTATCTTAGATGGCTGCTCGCAAGCCTTTAAGACCCCAGATACTATTCACTTCACTAGGATGCAGAACATGAACTTTGTTAACTATATTATGCCGGTTGACTGAGTTGTCCCATGAGACTACGATCCTCAGCTCTCAAACATAGAAGACCAATCTGTGTCTGAGGAATATCTTAGTTGTGTCTTCAGTGAATATATGTGCCTACACACACATATTTGTATTTACACATACATATAGATGCTTCTATCTGTTTTCACATAGGCACATCTGTGCCTATGCATATACCTATTCGCCTGTACTATCTATGTGTGATCATACACCTGTTTTTTGGTCTTTGTTGGAGTTATTGCCGTCTTATATATGTCAGATTCTTTAGTACAGGCATCATTTTCTCTTGAGTGCTTCTCAGCAACATCATTCACTTTGGTCATGCTGTGCTCGCTACATGCACATTTGGTGCCACTTTTCCCATCACCAAAAATAACAAGTATCTGCGATCTAACGCGTGTTTTTCCTACCTCCCCTCCTCTCCCTGGTAACCACCAAATGAGCATTGGTCTCTTTATATATACCTATTCTTGTCTCTTATGAGAGAGGGATCATACAGTATTTGTCCTTATGTGCTTGACTTACTTCACTTAGTATTATGCACGCCAGGCCCACTGCCAGGTGATTTTAATTTAGTTAGTCTACCAGCCATACTTTGAGCAACACTGTTTTAGATGTTTCCCCAAACTGCATTGGAATCTGTATTTTAAAGATGTTCTCTTGGAACCATTGCTTCCTTTTGCTCAGCTTACTCCATTTTATCCTCAGCAGCCTCTGGACACAATTGTGTGTTGAATAGATGCGTGTGTGAATGAGTGAGTGACTCATGCTTCTGCATGTTTTCTTAACGTGATTATACACACCAGTTATAATTTTTGTTCAAGAGGAAAGAGCCTGGAAGCTAGAATATACATTTTTCCATACATAGTTTTGCAGTGTTTTCCTTCTGCAAACATTTATGGAGCACTTTCTCCTGGCCAGGCCCTGTGCTGGGTGTGGGGCGATGCAAAGAGGGATTAAACACTCCTTCCTCATATGTCCAGTTGGACAGACTAACATGGCCACTAATAATTCCTGTACAGTATCTTTACTGCTTTAGTAGAGAATATACAAAGTGCTGTGGGGCAGCTGGAGAAGGGAGGAATTGCTCTTCCTCCTGCAGAATGAACTGAGGATTTCATTTAGCTCTTAGCAAAAGGAAGACTAAATTGAATAGGATTATGATATAACTCTTATAGATGACTCTCTGTTGATAAAAAAAAAATCTTCGTGATCGTTTTTCATAAGCTAACATTTATTGGCTAACTAGTGTGTGCCCAACACTTAGTGCATATTATTTCAATTAATCTTTACAGAAAGCCTTTGAAGTGGGTGTTATTAACCCCATCTATAATGAGATTATAGACGGGGAAGCAGGGTTAGCTGGAAAAGCAAAGCAAAGCAAACGGCTCAAAACCCAACAGTCAGTAAATGAAAGAACTTGAGTTTAACCCAGAATTGTCTGTCTGCAGAGCCTCAACCTTTTCCACTGAATCTTGCGTTTTCCCTAACACCATCATTAGCTGTAATAATAAATAATGCAAATTGGTTTAATGTTTTAATGGCAGATCTGTTTATGAAAAGCCAGCTATATATTTTTAGTAAGACCAGTCAATTATTCTGCCTTTCTGTACTTTTGTAGGTGATGCTATAATAAGACTATAATAAGAAGACCTGTACTGTTATCCAAAAGTACATCAATGCATTCTAGGCTATCGCTTTTACTTGAAAGTACATTTGTATATTTTAACTGTTAAACAAGTGTTTTAATGAGTCCACACACTTAAATAAAATTTATGACATCTTAGAAGAATTGGAGTAACTGCCAGACTCTCTGTCTATATCAAGTATTCTTGTTATAGAGGACACTTCTTTATGGGAATTATAATTTCTTCCATCTAGAGCTAGGCATAATTTGTAGCAGTAAACTAAGGACCAGGCAGTGTTTTGTTCTGTCGTATGTAGGGTAGTTATGAGTCAGAACCAACTCGATGTCACCTAACATCAACAACAAAAAAAAAACTGAAGGATTATTTGGAGGAGCCATTTTTTATTCTATTAAGCCTAGAGAGCATGCTAAAAAGTACATTCTACATTACTTCTTGGAGTCCCTGAGTGGTGCAAATGGTTAAGTGCTCAACTACTAGCCAGAAGGTTGGCTGTTAGAACCCACCAGAGACACCTTGGGAGACAGACCTGGCAATCTGCTTCTGAAAGGTCACAGCCTTGAAAATCCTATGGAGCAGTTCTGCTCTGAACACCTGAGGTTGCCGTGATTCAGAAGCAACTCAATGGCAACTAACAACAACACCTTACTTCCTAAAGCTTGATTATGAGGTGAATCATTTTTAGATCTGAACAAGATTAGTGGCTTCTGCCTAGGCATTTGCGTCTAGCATTGTCAATTTTCTCACAAAAACTTGAGATTTTGAATTATAAGCATATCAATGTGGTTGACATGGGAGGTATTTGGGTTTCTTCCCATTATGATGAAAAATGCAGATGTGGGCTGATTGCCAGCTCAGAGACCATTTTGGAAAGGAGTTCTCTACCACCATTTTTACCTTGTTGCCCTTGTGGGATGCTGAAGAGGTTAAGGTCACCAGCCTTTGTGTGAAGAGCCCTAAGGGCTTGTGAATATGACCTCAAACAGGAGAGAGATGTAAAAGCAGGTTAACTGCAGATACTTATTTCCTGAGTTGATCAGCTAGCTGCAAAATAATCTGAAATCAAAGTCAAGGTCAGAAACCATGACCCCAGTAAATAACTCTCTGACCATTTGTAAGGTTTTTTGTTTTTTCTTAAAAAAATGTTTAATTTTTGATTTGGAGCTAGGTGAAATTGCTCACTATAATAAGCAAGCTCTTGGTTATATAGACTGGAGATACAAAGTAATAGGGATAGATAGATTAATAATTGGAATCTACAGGCAATCTAAAAATCTAAGTTCAGGTCATCTTTCAGCCAGTTCTCTATCAATGAGTGTTTCCCCCCTTAACCATAGCTGTTAACCAGAAGCAGAGAAGACCGAGTTGAGTGCCACTGGATCTCTCTATTACCAATAGGCTAAGAATTGGAAGGCAAAGTGAGTCTGAATAAATAGCCTAAAGTGGACTGGGTGGAAGGGATTAGAGAGACATTCCAGAAGAGGGGATTAAAAGGAACAGAGACTCTGAGAAAGCAAACAATAAGAAGTTTACTTGGTCACAATAGAATGGTTGTACCGGTTTATGGCTACTAGCTTTCCTGTGTTTTATTTCTAAGCAGATTTTAGCTTTTTAATTTCCTGTTCCTTGTCTTTTTTCTGAAAGCATTATGGGAAATAAATATTTTAGGAGTAATAAAGAGGTAATTTAAGAAACATAACTAGCAGAGACAGGCAATAAAAATTATTTTCTATTTTATCTATCCTCCTGGGAGGCCAATATCGATATTAAATATTATAGCAATATCAACATGATGACAGTTTTGTCACCTCTAATTCCTTGCTCTAAGAGACAGAGAGGAGAGTGAAAGTACCAGGATTCTATCTTTGAAAATCTGGAGGCAGGGATGGATATGTTGAAGTAAACAGACTATGAAGGATATGAATAGAGTACTCGTCATCTGAACTAGTGAGCCCCAGGGCATTGCATGCCAGAACCAAACCCCAAAACCAACGCCGTTGCCGTCAAGTCTGTTCTGACTTATAGTGTCTCTGTAGGACAGAGTAGAACTGCCCCTTAGGGTTTCCAAAGAGCAGCTGATGGATTCAGACCACTGGCCTTTTGGTTAGCAGCTGAGTTCTTAACCTCTGCAGTACCAGGGCTAATACAAAGACTCCGTGGACTAATTAAACATTCTTTGCCTGCAGTGAGCTCATAGGCTAGTAACTGAGAGTATATGAGAGAAATACAAGGACATGTAACTTTAGATATTACATTTTGGGAACTTTGTACTCCATGAGGTTATACAGACTAAAAATATGAATAAATTCAAGAAGAGGTTAGATATATTCATGAAAGATTGTTTCGCAAGAAATTAAGGGGAGTTGGGGGCTTTGGTTAATAACCTAATAATAGTAGCTACTATTTTGTTATGAGGTACCATATTAAACACTTTACCACATTTTTAAATATGATCCTCTAATAACATGAGACAGTTACATTTTATAATGAGGAAGCTAAAGCTTAGAAAGGTGAAGTAACTTGCCCAAATTTGCACACCCAATAAGTGGAAATGTCGTTAGACAAAGGTAGTCCGACACTTGAGCACACATCCTTAACCCTTCAAGCTGCATTACTTTCCTCTCTATTCCACAGAACATACCCTAGAACTCTCAAATGAAAAAAAGACAACCAGTAGAAAAATAGACAGGATGGGCAATTCAGATACTCAGCAAATGTGTGAGAAGATGCTCAATCTCATTAGTAACCAGTGAAATGAAATTTAAAACTGTAATGAGATACCATTTCACACCCACCAGATAGAAGGCTTGACAATTCCAAATGTTGGTGAGGACTTGAAGTACCCAAAGTTCTTATTTACTGCTGGTGGGAATGTGAACTGGCACAACAGATCATTACCATTAGGGAATTTTTTGAATGGGGCTTATGATACTGAAATCTGCTTTAGTAGATATCCCAAAATGAAGTCCTCTGCACTTAATTTGCTGAATGTGCAACTTTTCCAGAACATACCTCTTTGGTGTGTATAGAAGTACCTGGTTAGTGATGTGATTATCTCCCTTCATACATCCTCTTTCATAATCTACTATCCTATCAGGAACACTAAAGGCCAATTGGGAAAGGATACATCTGTTATCCAAGAGTTTTCCAAAGAAATTTTTAAATAATTTCAACCATTGAGTTTGCATGCTGATTTATGCTCTGTTTTGCAGGGAAGAATAGCAGAGTTGGAGTTACAGTTAAAACACGGAAAAGAAGGACCTGAGGAGGTGCAGTACAAGAAAAGCACAGCCTGGCTCTGGTAAGAAGGTGGCGTTCTACTGCTCATTATGGCAAGGAGGTGAACAAGGAGAAGGAAGATATTACTTTAAAGGCTTTAAGTTGGGAGTTTTAACTTCTGTATGAGCCTGAAGAAGAAAAGATAGACAATCTGATATGCGTATTTTCTATCCACTCCTCAGATAAAATTATAAGGAGAGATTTATTCATAAACTTTATATGCTTTTTATCATTTTCTAAAGCAGTGAGGATGAGATATGGAAAGGATTTATTTTTCCCCTGTAACTGATTATTTTATATGCTTTTAAATGAAAAATTTTATTTTTCTCTTTCAATTCATTGCCTTCTTACCTCACATTTAGTCAAGGAACTCCCCACCCCCATGTCCTGTCCCAAGACATTTTCACTATTAGGAACAACTTTACCGTGTCAGGGCTTAATTTCTTTGACAGACACTCTCTAGTGAATTCCCACTATATTATGTAGAAATGTGTAAGTGCTGGCACATTAAAAGCAATTCAGATTGTTACATGGGTTGGGAAGAATATCTTGTCGGATTAACGTAACAGCATTCTAAATGTAAGTAAAGTACCCAGAATCTAAATAGCTTTGCGCACAGCCACAGGTTGCTTTAATCTAAATAGTTGTTCAAAGGTTACTGTTTTTCGGTCTGTATTTACTGACACTTGGCATATGTAGAAATGCTGAAGTAGTGTTTGTGTGTGTGTGTGTGTGTGTGTGTTTAATTAATTCTATTTTAAGTTTCATTTCCCAGATTACAAAGAGCAAACAAATAAATGATAATACACTTTAAAACATTATGGCACTAGATATAAGATTAAGGATTAAGAATTTGGGTTTTGTTCTTATTTAATATTATCTTTTGCATATAGTTATAATTTCATCTTCTGAAAATGATAATATGGTCTAGGTAGTAAAACTGTTATGCTCTCCAAAACTTAAAGTTGCCTTCCAGTCAGTTCTGATTCATGGTGACCCCATGTGTGTCAGAATAGAACTGTGCGCCATAGAGTTTTCAATGGCTGTGACCTTTCAGAAGCAATCCTTAGGCCTTACTTCCCAGGCACTTCTGGGTGGGTTTGAACCACCCTTTTGCTTAGTAACCAAGTGATTAACTGTTTACACCACCCAAGAACTCCTGTTCAAAATATATACAATAACATAAGTATATATGTCCCAGGTGAAACTCATGGGGTGCATGTGTTCGTGAGTACATGGGAGGTTGTTGTTGTTGGGTGCCTTCAAGTCAGTTCTCACGCATAGGGACTCTGTGTACAACAGAACGAAACACTGCCCGGTCCTGTGTCATCCTCTCAATCCTTGCTATATACTTGAGCCCACCGTTACAGCTGCTATGTCAGTCCATCTCCTTGAGGGTCTTCCTCTCTTGCACTGGCCCTCTACTTTACCAAGCATGATGCCTTTCTCCAGCGTCTGGTCCTTCCTGATAACATATCCAAAGTACATGAGACGAACTCTTGCCATTCGCTTCAAAGGGGCACTCTGGCTAAACTTCTTTCAAGACAGATTTGTTCGTTCTCTGGCAGTCCATGGTATATTCAATATTCTTTGCCAACACCATAATTCAAAGGCATCAATTCTTCTTCAGTCTCCCTTATTCATTGTCCAGCTTTCAGTTGAGGCAATTGAAAACACCATGGCTTGGCTCAGACATACCTTAGTTCTCAAAGTGACATCTTTGCTCCTTAATACTCTAAAGAGGTCTTTTACAGCAGATTTGCCCAATACAATATGTTGTTTGATTTATTGACTGCTGCTTCCATGGGCATTGATTGTGGATCCAAGTAAAATGAAATCCTTTACAACTTCATTATTTCTCCATTTATCATGATGTTGCTTATTGGTCCAATTGTGAGAATTTTTGTCTTCTTTATGTTGAGTTGTAATCCATACTGAATGCTGTAGTCTTTGATCTTCATCAGTAAGTGCTTCAAGTCTTCTTCGCTTTAGCAAGCAAGGCTGTGTCATCTGCTTATTGCAGATTGTTAAGAAGTCTTCCTCAAATCTTGATGCCGCATTCTTCTTCATATAATCCAGGCTTCTCAGATTATTTGCTCAGCATACACATTAAATAAATATGGTGAGAGGATACAACCCTGAGGCACTCCTTTCCTGACTTTAAACCATGCAGTATACCCTTGTTCTGTTTGAATGACTGCTTCTTGTTCTATGTGCAGGTTCCTCATGAACACAATAAAGTGCTCTGGAATTCCCATTTTTCCCGGTATTATCTATAATTTGTTATATCTACACAGTTGAATCCCTTTGCACAGTCAATAAAACACAAGTAAACATCTTTTTGGTATTCTCTGCTTTCAGCCAAGATCCATCTGACATCAGCAATGATATCCCTGGTTCCACGCCCTCTTTGGAATCTGGCTTGAATTTCTGGCAGTTCCCTGTCAATGTACTGCTGCAATTGTTTTTGAATTATCTTCAGCATAATTTTTACTTGTGTGTGATATTAATGATATTGTTTGGTAATTTCCGCATTCTGTTGGATCATCTTTCTTTGAAATGGGCACAAATATAGATCCCTTCCATTTGGTTGGCCAGGTAGCTTTCCAAATTTCTTGGCATAGACAAGTGAGCACCTTCAGTGCTGCATCCATTTGTTGAAACATCTCAATTGATATTCCATCAATTCCTAGAGTCTTGTTTTCCACCAATGCCTTCAGTGAAGCTTAGATTTCTTCTTTCAATACAATTGGTTCTTGGTCATATGCTACCACCTGAAATGGTTGAACATCGATCCATTCTTTCTGTTACAGTGACTCTGTTTATTCCTTTCATCTTCTTTTGATGCTTCCTGCAGCATTCAGTATTTGCCCATAGGATCGTTCAATATTGCAATTTGATGCTTGAATTTTTTCTTCAGTTCTGTCAGCTTAAGAAATGCCAAGTGTGTTCTTCCCATTTGGTTTTCTGACTCTAAGCCTTTGCGCATTCCATTGTAATACTTTTACTCTGTCTTCTCAAGCCACCTTTGAAATCTTCTATTTAGCTCTTTTACTTCATCATTTCTTCCATTTGCTTTAGTTACTCTACGTTCGAGATCAAGTTTCATCCATTTTGGTCTTTTCTTTCCTTCCTTTCTTTTTAATGACCTTTTTCTTTCTTCACATATGATGTCCTTGATGTCATCCCACAGCTCGTCTGGTCTTCGGTCTTTTAATGTTCAATGCATCAGATCTATTTTTGAGACGGTCTCTAAATTCAGGTGAGTTGTACTCAAGGTTGTATTTTGGCTCCTGTGGACTTGTTTTAATTTTCTTCAGCTTCCACATGAGGAATCAATGGTCTGTTCCACAGTCAGCCCCTGGCCTTGTTCTGACTGGTGATATTGAGGTTCTCCTTGTCTCTTTCCACAGATGTAGTCAATTTGATTCCTATATATTCCATCTGGTGAGATCCACGTGTGTAGTCATCATTTATGTTGTTGAAAAAGGTATTTGCAATGAATAAGTTGTTGATCTTGAAAAATTCTGTCATGCAATCTCCAGCGTTATTTCTGTCAGCAAGGCCGTATTTTCCAACTATCGATCCTTCTTTGTTTCCAACTTTCGCATTCCAATCACCAGTAATTATCAGTGCATCTTGATTACATGTTTGATCAATTTCAGCCTGCAGAAGTTGGTAAAAATCTTCAATTTCTTCATCTTTGCCAGTAGTGGTTGGTGCGTAAATTTGAATAAAAGTTTTATTAGCTGGCCTTCCTTGTGGGCCTATAGATATTAGCCTATCACTGACAGTGTTGTACTTCAGGATAGATCTTGAAATGTTCTTTTTGATGATGAATATCATGCCATTCCTCTTCAATATGTCATTCCTGGCATAGCAGACCATATGATTATCTAGTTCAAAATGGTCAGTACCAGTCCATTTCAGCTCACTAATGCCTAGGATATCTATCTTTATGTGTTCCATTTCATTTTTAATGACTTCTAATTTTCCTAGATTCATACTTCATACATTTCATGTTCCAATAATTAATGAGCATTTGCAGCTGATTCTTCTCATTTTGACTCATGCCACATCAGCAAACGAAGGTCCTGAAATGTGACTCCATCCACATCATTAAGGTTGACTACTTTGAGGAGGAGGCATCTGTTCCTCAGTCATATTTTGAGTGCCTTCCAACCTGAGGGGCTTATCTCCCAGCACTGTATCATACAATGTTCCATTGCTATTAATAAGGTTTTCCCTGGCCAATTTTTTCAGAAGTAGACTGCCAGATCCTTCTTCCCTTTGTTAAGAATGATAATTCTAGAACGCTTAATTGTCTCATGAGTAACTTGTACATAAATCAAAAGGCAGTTGTTTGAACACAACAGGGGGATACAGTGTGGTTTAAAATCACGAAAGGTGTGCGTCAAGGTTGTATCCTTTCACCATACTTATTCAATCTATATGCTGAGCAAATAATCTGAGAACTGGACTATATGAAGAAGAATGCGGCATCAGGATTGGAGGAAGACTTGTTAACAACCTGTGATATGCAGATGACACAGCCTTGCTTGCTGAAAGTGAAGAGGACTTAAAGCACTTACTGATGAAGATGAAAGACTACAGCCTTCATTATGGATTAGTCCTCAACATAAAGAAGATAAAAATCTTCACAGCTGTACCAGTAAGCAACATCGTGATGAACGGAGAAAATATTGAAATCATAAATGATTTCATTTTACTTGGATCCACAGTTAATGCTCATGGAAGTAGCAGTCAAGAAATCAAACAACATATTGCACTGGGCAAATCTGCTGTAAAAGACCTCTTTAAAGTATTAAGAAGCAAAGACGTCACTATGAGGACTAAGGTACACCTGACCCATGTGTTTTCAATTGCCTCATATGCATGTGAAAGCTGGACAATAAATAAGAAAGACTGAAGAAGAATTGATGCCTTTGAATTATGCGTTGCCAAAGAATACTGAATATACCGTGGACTGCCAGAAGAATGAACAAATCTGTCTTTGAAGAAGTACAGCCAGAATGTTCCTCAGAAGCAAGGATGGCAATACTTCATCTCAAGTACTTTGGATATGTTACCAGGAGGAAGCAGTCCCTGGAGAAGGACATCATACTTGGTAAAGTAGAGGGTCAGTGATAAACAGGAAGACCTTCAAGGAGGTGGATTGACACAGTGGCTGCAACAGTGGGCTCAAACATAGCAAGGATTGTGAGGAAGGCACAGGACCAGGCAATGTTTCGTTCTGTCGTACACAGGGTCGCTATGAGTTGGAACCGGCTTCAGGGCACCTAACAACAGCAACAACAATTAGATGTCTAGGTGGAGATATCAAGTAGGTTGTTGTTGACTATGTTAGTTTGGAGTTTGGGGAAGAGGTCAGGGCTAGAGATATAAATTTGGGAATCATCAGCATATCAATAGTATTTAAAGTCATGACACTGGATGAGATCACCTAGGGAGTCAGTAAGGATAGAGAAAAGGTCAGAAGACCGATTTAGCAATGGAGAAGGTGAAGATGGAATCAATAAAGCAGATGGAAAATTAGTGATCAGTGAGGTAGGAAGAAACCAAGAGGGAGTGGAGTCCAAGAAGCTGACTGAAAAAAGTGTCTCAAGAAAGGAATGTCCAGTTGTGTCAGATACTACCATGATACTGCAAAAGATGGAGACATAATCGAGCATTAGATTTGACCACTTGACAGAAGCTGTTTTGGTGGAGTTGTAGGAACAAAAGCCAAATTGTAGAAGGGTCTGGAGAAAGTGGAAGGAGAGGAACTGGAGTCATCACGTGTAGACTACTCTTTCTGAGGAGTTTTGATTTGTTAGAAGGTTCCAAAGTGGCACAATAATTTCAGCTGGATTACTAACCTAATGGTTGGTGATTTGAACCCACCCAGTGGTACCAAGGAAGAAATTATGGAGCAGTTCTACTCTGTAACACATGGGATTACTATGAGTTGAAATCAATTCCGATAGCAGTGGATTGACTTTGGATGCGTAGGAAGCAGAGATATGGGGCAGCAGGTGGAGGGCTTTTTTTTTTTTCTTTTCTTTTTAAGATGGTAGATATTGTAGCATGTTCACGTGCTAAGGCGAATAATATAAACAGAGAAGGAAAATATTGGTGATGCAGCAGAGAGACCAGAGTAGGTGAGGAGAGAGAGCTCGTACACAAGCCGAAGATTTGGCCTTAGAACTATAGACAGGTCATTGTTATTAAATATTCCATGTTGACCGATAGAAGATTACACTGAATTTACTATACTCCATTTAGGAAGATAAAATTAGATTTTAAAATACATTTTAGAGAAATTTATTGTGAAATGGTTTTTAAAAATACAAGTTTAAGATCTGCAGGAGGAGTTTTCAACTATTTTTAAAACTTGGCTCTTCATGATGACTCAATTCTCAAAGAGTGCTGGGTAGCCTAAGATTTCATTGTATTTTGAATGTAAATATTTATGAATGCAAATATAATTTATATTGAATGCAAAATTTTATTATATATAAATTTTATAATATCTATAATATATAATATGTGTAATATTTATAAATTCAAAGTATACAATGAAATTGTCTATGGAACCCTCTTCAAAATGTAAAGTTGGCAGCCAGTGGGGTTTTTCACTTTATCTCAAGGCTCCTATATTGAAAAAAAAAACAATTATGTTCTGTGATTATTTGAACTGAACATACCTTCCTTCAAACTGCGAGTATAATTATTTTCTTTTAGCTTCAGTGTGATTATATAACCAAATTTTATTACTTTAAATTTTGTATACACACGTAGTGTCTCTTCCATATCTACAATTTTGAAACAGTAAAGTGGTGTTTTCGTGAGCTCCTATGCGAAAAACAGAGAACAAAATGAAGGACACTTGAATACCCACCACTCAGTTTAAGAGAGGGCACTGTTAACAACACTGCCTATATACCTCTCTTCAGCTACTTTCACCTCCTTCCCCACCTCTGTGACATAAACTTCAGAATAGGAAAATGAAGCTCTCTCTGAAATAAAGTCCTGGAACTGAAACAGCTCTTTTCACCTTACACTAAAATTCTACATATATAGTTTTAAGATCTGGAGTCATTGCCAGAAGGTTTTTAGTAATTGGTGAATAAGAGAAAAAATTGCATTCTTGCTACAACATAAACTCTAACACCTATTTTCCACCTTCTCTGCAGGGTCAGAGACATGTTGACTGATGAGATCACCAAGGCAGCTGCAAAGTAAGATTCTTTTATTCTCTTACCAAAAATTTTCTGTGTATAAACATAGTGTTTTTTTTTTTTTTCCTGGGAAGTACTTACTGTTTCTCCTATTAGGGCATTTTATAACTTTAAGGAGTTTCTAATATTTTTCAAAAATCAGTTTTTACCCTTTCCCATATTAAGTTCATTTTTATTGTATGTCTTTTTGTGAAAATACAAAGAGACTGGTATGAACATGTAATTTGTACATCAAGAGGCACTGAGCTTGAGCCCTTGCTGTATACCTAACAAAATGCCAGGTACTTTAGCTTAGACTTGTAATTTGGTTCCGGGGGTAGGGCGGGGGGTGGGAAGAAATCCTTGGTAATGTGACTTACGTGGATTCTACAAATAGATTATTAAATCTCAGCTGTGAAGCAGCAAATAAACCAGAGTAGAACTTCCTTTCATTCCCTTTATTGGGTCCCTGTTACTGGGTCCTGGATATCTAAAAATTTTTAATAAACTTAAATCTGTTGTGAAGACCAGATTAAAAAACAATTTCAGTCATGTCTTATGTTTGTTTTAACAAAAATTTCTTGAGTGTTACTGCCTTGAAGATTTTTATTTACCTTAAACCAATTCTTACTAAGAAAATTATACCCTAATGAATTTACTCGGACAATCTCTTCAGGCTCCTTTGTAGCAAGCTGGCAGTAACTTACATGTCAGTTTGTGTACACTTCTCCCTTCCAACATCATCCTTAGCTGCTGCCATTTCTATATGACTTCCTTTCTTCTTATCCTTTGACCTAGACGATTTCATGTGTATTGAAAGTCCATATCATCTAGAAATATTTCACTGCAGCATAGTTAATCCCCACCATTCCCAGAAATGTCTCTAACTAAATAGATTTTGCCTTAAAACCAAAACAAAACAAAACATGGTCTCCCTTAGAGTTAGCTTTCTTAAGCAGGCATATAGCTGTCAAGTCTGATCTTGGAACATGATCACTACTCAGTCTCACGTCTTCTGAATAAAGGGAAACAGAAGTGGTAATCCTCTAGTCAGTTCTGTAGGAGGCACTGGGAAATAGATCTGTTGACAAAGTGAAAACTTAAGTACAGAGGGGCTTGGATAGGGACTCATTTGTGTCTGCTTATCCAGTTTGGTGAATTGCAGACACAGTGGGAGAGCACTCAGTTGCATATTGGGGAAGGTGGGGGGGCTGGAAGGATAGGCTGTCTTTGACCTTTACCTTTCAGAATTTGTTCTATTATGTAGTCTACTTATATCCTGTTAAAACAGTGCCCTCTGACATTTGCAGCAAAAGGCTTGAATGCTGAAGAAACTAGCAGCTTTCTATTAAAACAAACTATAATTTTGCCTCTCTGGCAGCATTTGCATTTTCCATTTGAAAATTTCTATGAGACTTTAATTATCAGATTTGCAAAGCATCACTTCATGACTGATACCTCAGGAGATTGTGTTCACATTCTCAGTGGTACAGAGTAAAAATAATTGATGTTCTCCTGGTGTTAACTTTTCATGAAAAATTTCAAAGTATTTTATAGGCCTTATCTTACTAAAATGATCTTGACAATACTTAGCATGACAGCAAGTGAATATGAGATATTTAAGGTCTAGAGGCTGAGAGATTAATGATAGAGCAGAGGTAAAAATCACCCCTTACTTCTTCCTACTGGCTTCTTCCAACCATGTGATGACCCCACCACTACCTGCTGCCACCTTAGCTTTCTGTTTCTTGGACCATGGCTACCAGGACTTAGTTTGGGCCATAGTAGGGCTTGTTTGGTCAAAGCCATAAGTTAAATGCAGGAAGTAAAACACCAGTCACATGGTTAGACTGATTTCCTCATTTGAGAGCCTTTTAAAGCATCGGTGGATAGAACTAAGGGAGAATCAGAACAGGGATAAAATTTGATTATTGATGTAAATGTATTTTCATTGTTACTAATTAAATAAATTTGAACCTGAAGATAAAAAGTCCCCAATGGGTTGGGTCACTTTACTAATATGTAACCTAATGCTTTGTCCCTAAGAAAGCATCGTTATAGTGCATTCTTCCTTGTGCTTTTTAATTAGGTTAATGACATCACTTTGTTTCAAAGGACAGTTTAATTAAAATGTCACTGGAGTTGCCTAGATAAATACTGTACTGATGCTGCCTTGTCATTATGCAAATTAGTCACTATTGTGTGACTAGTAGGGGACAGTTATTTGATCAACAAGGTGATGAGTTTTTGTTGAACTAGTTGTAGATTTTCATCTGGCCAGCTCCTCCTTGAATTTGTTTCACTATGTATGTATTGAGTGTCTTCTCTCCATAAGGCATTGTGTTGGCCGTATAAGGAATGTGAAGATGAGCAAGACCCATTCTCAGTACCTTTCTGAAATATGTTGCTTGGCTGAGGCATGCATTGTGTGAACTGTGGGCTAATTTTTTCTATTCAAAGATTAATGCCCAAATTTTCATTAAATCTGAAACCAAAGATCTAATTAAGAGTGGATTTAACTACATTTTTCTCCATTTGACAAGAAACGTGCATGCTTAGATATGTCATAACCAGTGAAACTTTTGAAGTAAAATCATCTTGGGTACTGTTTTAAAACTGTGACTAACTTCTCTTCTAGAATTTTAGGGTTAAAAAGGTACTTTTTATGTCATCTTGTCTAATTTTCTTGTGTTACATGATTTGATACCAGATTTTTGGTAACCATGTAAGTGTTGCTCTGCAGGGTGATAAAAACTGGGACCTAATTCTCAGATCACCGGTAATTTAAAAGCTTTTTTTTTTTTTTTTCTAAATCTAGGGGATTTGTGGCCATTTTGTAGGAGGACAGCCCTTAGGATATTCTCAGTTGAAGGAAAGTGATAATAATAGAAATAAAATATTTAATTTCATTTTTGTTAAATGATTATATGGCTAGGGCTCATAGGAATGCTCAAATCCTACCTTGCTTCCTGGTGGTTTATTATTAGCTATGTGAGTGCTCAATAATCTCACTAAAGAACTCTAGAAAAACCTACCTTGGAGCCATCTGCTTAGACCTCAAGGTCTCTTCTCCATTTTCATCCCTGCCCCAGCCCATCCCCAGTATGAATTTTGATGTCTTACCAACTTATGGCAGGTCTCTTAGAGAAATGAAGCTAAGGAGGGGTGAACAAAATGGCCAAGTGTGCAGAGCAGGTCTTCACTGAGCTCAACAGACAGCATGCCCTACAGACAGTGTGAAGGAGGGCGAGAAGGAAGCAGGGATAGATGAGTGGATAGATGTACGGACTTGACATTGGGAGGGCCTGAGTCCAGTTCTTACCAAATGGAAGCAAAAATGCAAGAACACAGATGTACGCTAACCTTTTAGTACACACGGACTCACATGTCCAGTTGTGACTATGGCTTGGACCTGGAGGTTCTGGCTGGCTCAGCATGGACAGCAGGGCTGAAAGTCTTCCTCATCCCACGTGTCTGCACTGGGTTAAGCAGGGAGTTGTTCTTGGATGTATACCTTGAACTCAGGTTCAGGTCTCAAGTCCAGGTTTATGGGAGTCCACAATCATAGGACTAACTGAGAATTGAACCATCTGATGGTATGAGTACCGTATGGCCCAAGTTCTGCTATGACAGAATTGTCAAGCCAAGAGCATGTCTTGTGTCCCATTTGGGACTTTCTTCTATAGATTAGTTTGGAATTATGGAATAATACTAAATGCACATTTTCAAGTGGTGAGTATATTAAAAAGCTTCAGTTTTCTTGATACTAAATTCAGAAGTCAAACATAAGACTTTATTGCTAATATTAGAAAACTTCCATCTGAATGATATAAAAGGGAAACTTTCATTCCTAATAGTCTAAAAACAGGCATTTTTCACATCTTATCTAGGGTCTCCAAATTCTATTACAAACTGCCTTTGAGGTTGTTGGCTTTGGCATATTAAGAGAAAGAAGGAGAGGGAAATAATGACTAAGGAAAGCTGCCAGTGTGTCAAATTGCAAGCAAACAATGCTGTCTGAAGTGTTTCACTAGAAGCTGGTTCCACACACCAGTGCTTCAGAAAAGCCAGAGGCCATTCCGTTCTGGTGGGGCTATCCACATAGCTGTCCTTGGTTGTGTTTTCAGAAAAACCAATAAATTTAAATTGGTCAAGGTGGCACAGAAGAAGACAGCTTAGGAAATGTAATTTCAAATGATGAAAAAAAAATTAGGATAAAAACTTAGATATATGAGCTTGAATTTTTAACTGACAAAAAAGCATAATGACCATACATTGAAGAGGAGAGTTAAAAATCAGCACTAGTGTCAGAAGAAGGAAAGAAGCTGTTGGCAACAGGCAAAAGCAGACCTGTGTTTATTAGGCTCACTGAAGGAATGGAAGTGCTTCTTTGACCTCAGCCCCCCACCCCCATAATAGCTCCTTCTCTTCTCCTTGGAATTGTTTTCTTTTTCAACAGGGACAGCCCAGTGGTCAAAGGGAACGCACTGTTAGCCTTAAGTAGCCTTGCTGTTGTCGTATCCAAACATGAAGCCAGCCTCTCCTCAGACTCGGATGAGGCCCTGGAGGTGAGTTATGGGTGATGTGAACTAGTTGAGCTTTGGTTGTGTAACATTTGAAAAGTAAGAAGTCTCTTTAAGCCTGGCTTTAGATGGCCGGGCCCTGGATTTACGAGGTTAAATTCTGTCATTACAGCACCAAGTTATGCTACTTGATGGGCCTTTATGCTGTGAGCCTTAGTGTCTTCCTGGCTTTTCTTTGCTGCTTTTCTGTTTTGCTTTCTTCATCACAGTTAAGTGGTTATTTCCATTTGAAGGTGCCAATTCTATGCAACAGGGGTTATCTTTTTGTGATTACATCAGTGGTAACCAATCTTAAGAGGTTAACTAGGCTTACTGAAAGTGAACAATGCTGTCAAAAAATGATAAATAAGCAGTGTTTACTGACTGAAAAAAGATTTTACTTTGCATTTTAATTGTAAATGTCAATGACAAAGTGCCTATTCATTTTTGCAAGGCATTTATTTCTTAATTAAACATGTGGTGAGATGGCCAATGTTCATTTTCAATGTATTTTTTCAGATAATTCATATCTGTCAAAATAAAAAGGCATGGATTTATTCTTACTTTAAGTCCCAATTATCTGGTAGCTATCATTATCTGGAGACAATATAGCCAAGTGGTTAAAAAACAGACTTTGAAATAGGAGATTCCAGTATTTAAATCCTAGTGCTTCCATTCTATGGCATGCTAGTAACTTTCCCTTTCAAAGCTTGTTTCCTCATCTGTGAAATGGGGTAAAGATACTTACCAGGCAGGATTATTGTAAGGATTAAATGTAAGGGTCTTAGTACCATGGCTGATAGACGCTAAACAATAAATAGTTACCATTATCAGTAGCAGCAAGCAGCAGCATCTACCTCATGGCGTTAAACTACTGTATTGTAAACTATCCTGAAGAGAGAATTTTATGCTAGCTCATTAAAGAAGAATATCTGCTTCCATGACCACAAAAAAGAAAGAAGTAAAATCATATAAAACATGACTGATAGTTGTTTTAAAATAAAATTTACCTGCTGTCTTCTCAAACTGAGTGTGAGCCTTAATTTGTGGGCTTGCTACGTATGCAGCAAAAAGTGAGACTTTATTAATTAAATATTATTCAGCTTATCTCTCTCCTCTTAGAGTATCTTATAGGCCATCTGTACTTAACTCTTTTCCCATTGTGGGATTTTTTGATTGCAAGCTAAGAAAATGACTCTGACTGATTTAAATGAAAAAGAAACTGGAAGGATATGGAATCTGGAAGCTTATGGAATTAAAAGCAAATATTAAAAACCAGGTTTGTAGAAAAAATAGGAACCAAGGCAACTTGGGGAGTCCAAGCAACATGTGCAGACCATTCCCACCCAGATGGATCTTATTGAGTCATTTACGGCCCTTGCATCACTCACTCAAGGGGTCCCATGCCCATCCTTGGCAAGTAGCTTAGCTGAAAGTTTAACCAAGTGGAGGAGAGAGAATTCCCCAAAGGGTATTATTACTAGTAAATAAGAGCATAGGTGCTGTGTGGTAAAAATTGCAAATGTCTGTTACACATAGGAAGGGTAAGAGACCAAGGGATTATTGCATGAAGGATAAGAATATAGTTAGTTACCATATGAATAGTTTAACTTTAAACCCAGAATCTTATTTTAATAATGAGAAAGATGAAAACATTTTTTAAAGAGGACTACTTTTGCAGAGGCAACATGCTCAGTAGATCTACAACCTAAAAAGTTAACTGCCCTCTCTAGAATCCCTTTACTCTTGTGATACTTATGCCAAGCTACCAGTTGTACAGAGTCCCTAGGTGGTGCAAATGGTTAGCATTCTCAGCCCCTAACCCAAAGATTGGCAGTTGATCTACCCAGAGGTGCCTTGAAAGAAAGGCCTGACAATCTACTTCAGAAAAATCAGCCATTGAAAATGCTATGGAGCACTATTCTGACACAGATTGGATCACCATGAGTCAGAGTCGACTCAACAACAACTGATTTACCAGTTGTAGAGGTAATTTGCCCCAGTAATAAGTGAGGGCTTAACTCAGAGTTTTGAAGTTCATGTTCTTTTGCTCTTCATTATTTTTCCCCTTTTGTCTGATGCTGTAACACATAGAACAAACACAATGAGAAGCCACCCAGCCCAAAGAGAGGGCTTTACTTTTATTCTTGATGACCTTGCCTTTGGCCATCACTCAAGACAAACTCAAGACCTGATTATTTTATTAGATTGAAGTTTTCAAACTTCATTCAAATCTGCGTGTGACCAATAACTAAAGATCTTAAGCCCTTGTGTGAGTCAGTGTATTAATTCCAAGGACAGACTCAACACTGCCATGGCCATTTTTAATTTGCACCACCTGAGCTTTACCATGTGCGTTAACAAATGCCTTTGCCATTCATGGTCATGAATGATTTTTAAAACCAAATTATACTTTTAATGAGTGTGGTTTTGTTGTTGTTTTGTCTTTACTTTCTCTTTCTTCTTCTTTTCCAAACTTAAGATCATTTATGTTTTCATACCTAATTTTTCAAATAGCTAGGCAAATGTCATGATTCTTGAATGATGACTATATGGTAGTAGTAAGCAGAAGTGCTAGAGCTGTTGATCAAAATTTTGTAAGTTGCTTTATTACTTCCTTTGTGAAACAACAAATTATAGAATTGAGAAGATTTGAATTGTTTTGTCTACACACGTCTTCCTTTAACCTCCACATTATCCTCACTGAAACTCACTGAACTCAGGAGAACTCTGAAGGGCTCCTGGATATGATCGGCAGCCCCTGTCCTCTCACCTCTGCCACGTCTTGCATAAGAGGTAAATCTTATTCCTGATGGGGCACAGGTGATGATTTGTATTTGCCAAATAACCATTCACCCCATGTAGTCTTAACATGTGAAGTTTACTTTTTGATAATAACACTTCATTATTTAATGCAGAAGAGGGTTGTACACGTAATGTTTAGGTTTAGTTTCTGTTTTTCCATTATCATTTCATGTTTTTCTTCGTCTCCAGATTCAACCTAACTTCCTTTCAATGAAAGAGTGGGTTTCCATGGTGCTTGATACCCTCCTGGTAATTGTGGATAGTCATTACCAACCCCGAGGACAACTCTTCTCCTGGTTTTATTATGTAAGTCAGAACAGTAAAAAATGCTCAGAAAACTCAAGGGTTGACTCTTTTCATATCAGTTGTTCCGGTGAAATTCCATGATATAGTATAATGATTTTCAGCCTGTCTGTATGTTAGACTTACTGGGGGAACATTAAATATATTTATATTGACAAAAGAAATACTTAACTGTGGCCTCACCGCCAATTTAATTGGTTGGAGATGGGCCCCGGGGCATCAGCATTTTGAAAGCTCTCTAGGTTATTCTAATGTTCAGTCGCAGTTAAGAGCTGTAGTTGTGGTAGAATGAACATTGGCTGAAGAGTGGAGACCTCAAGTTTCTAGTCATAGTCTTGTCATTTCAGGCTATGTGACAATGGGCAGTTCATTTAATCTCTTTGTACCTTTGTTTCCTTATTTATAAAATGAGGGGATTGAATTATATTATCTGTAGTGATGGTAGCCCTAGCTTCACTCTTTATTAGTTTTGTGGCTATTGGTCTGATACTGAACCCCTTTCATCCTTTTTTTTTACTTATAAAATGAAGGTAAAAATTAATGCTTTGCCAACTTTATCATGGATTGTGAGGGTCTCATTATGTAATTCATGTAAGAATGCTTTAAAAACTGTGAAATACTCTGTAAATAACAAAGGAATATTGTTGTTGATACTTAAAAAGCACTGATTACTCAGTCATTGTCTTTGTTTATGCTTATATCCTAAGATTTGAAGTAAAACAAAAACACACTTTTTTGTTTAGGTTTCATTTTCCCTTTATTGGTTGTGGTGCATGCTTTATTTTTGTATCCCCATGGAATTATTTTAGTTTTTACCCTATCACTATCCATTGCTTAGGGAATTATAGTGATCATGGGACAATCAGCTGAGTGGCAGAGGATTATACTTGATTTGAATAAAAATATAGCACAGATCCTGAACTGTTGCTAAGATCACGAATTTAGCCTGAAACCCCATTGCCTTAGGCCTTCTCTGTACAACAGTTTGTGTGCCTCTGTCCCCTGCCCTCAGAGAACCTGGTATGTATTCATCTGTGGGGGTCTGGAGCTAGATTTTTAACCGTACATTAGGACAAAAAATAGCTTACCAGACAATGCAGAATCAAACTGGAAAGTAGATTTTTCTCAAAGAAGTTAATTTCCTTATGATGATTTGCTTTCTATCAGAAGTGTTCTTATTTATTTAATGATAGATGAAAAAACCTGTTTAGAAGCTTAGATGGAGGTCTTTGCAATAGCGATCTGGTTAAGATATTCACCAGGACAGGGTATTGTACATTTCTAATAATGCTACTTAGTTCTTACAGACCAATAAAAATAATCTCCTTAGTAGCCAGCTCGGGGTTGCCTTTTACCTTTGTGGTTTTGCATTATTATACTTTTTTTCATAGCCCTATTTCGAAAGTCACTTCCTTTATTTCCAGTGTCCTAGCTTTGTCAGTACAGAAGTGCTGCATTAACTTAAAGTATAAGTTAGCATATGTTTGATTTTATACTTATAGTGCTAAAGCTTAGAGAACAAATGAGCATAGAATTAAAAACACTTTTTAATGTGCTTTGGCTGCAAGGGACAACACAGCTTTCATGGTATGTCTGAAAATTTAAAGTGAATAATAGTAAGAAATGATAAACGGCCTTTCTTCTCCTCTTGAGACATATTTATAAATGTATATAATGTCTGGTAGAGCTCTCTAACATGGAATTCTTATAAAAGTTGTTCATATTCAACTGCCCTGTGATTTCATTAGAGCTATTATTCATTTCTTTACCCGTAATTACATATAGGAAGGAGCATATACATTCTCCATTTCATTCTGAATAGCTAGTTATTGCTTTGTAACCAGAGGCTTTTAGGATTTCAACTTCCTTTTTAATTAAAAGGAATTAACCCCCTGTAGGCAATAATCCATCGATTGGGAAGCATTCCCACCAAAAATTTTGGGAGATCTGCCAGTAGATCCCTACACTAAACCTACACTCTTCCCTCAGTGCTAAACTTAAACTTTATTATTATTATTTTCCTTTTTCTTTCCCTCCTGGAGAACTCCTGGCTTTCTGGAATCATATTTATAGTGTGGCTTAGTGATTTGCCCAAATTTGGATAGCTTCACTTTGGATTTTTCAATGTATGTGCATGTGGGCTTTTGAAAACACTGAAATTGTTTCAGCCTTTATAGTGAGGGAATTCGCATTCTTTAAAAGGAGGGGACTTATAATTTGCTTTTCAAATTTAAAGGACGTTATTAATTAAGTGATTGTTTAGTAGCAAATTATTTCAGTAAGAGTAAAAATCTATCCTATAGACACTTACAGAAATAGATTTTTAAAAAAAATTTTTTTTTTTTGGTTAGCAGGGGTGGGTCTAATAGAAGCTTGTTGTGTTGTATTGTGCTTTTGTGATAGGCATGCTTCCTTCATGTTTTAAACAAAGGGCTAACCCCCTGTTTTCTTTCTTCGGCATGTCCTAGAAATCCTATTCCGGTGAAAACACAGCTAGTGCCATTGCCCGTTCTGCTGCCGCCACGGCTTTGTCTCTCCTCGTGCCAGTTTTCATTATCTCTTGCAAAGAGAAGGTTGAGGAAATCCTGAACATGCTGACTGCCAGGTTACCTGGGAAACCAAGTGCTGACGAGTCTCAGGCCGTGCAAATCCACATGGGCCTTGCTTTGGGGATGTTTCTCTCTCGTTTGTGTGAGGAGAAACTCAGGTACGGTTTATTAAAATATTTTTACTTTTCCTCTTGTGGTTTAGGTGAAGGACTCTACACAAATGAACGTACATACGTAAACATTGTAACTGAGAATATGTGGTTGCTAGTGGTTGCTAAACTTTTTGAGATGGGCAAGTTGATCCTCTTTTCTCCTTTATGGGTAAATTTGTCACCCATTGATGTATTAAAGTGATTGATTACTTGAAAATCATTTCATGCTTAGATAAAGCCCTGGGTACATCTGTGTAATAGATGTGAGGAAAAGCCTAATCTTATGGTGCTATAAGTAAAGAAAAGCTACTTTTTTTGGTTTGTACAGTATGGAAATAATTACTGATTCTTTCTGATAGCACTGTAAAATGGGAGGAAAGGATTGGGGTATCCTTTGTGCCCGAGGGATGTTGGAAGTCACTGAAGCACCTGAGAACTGCATGTACTTGGTTTTAAATATTGCTTTTATCCTGTGCCCTGGCTACATTTTTATAATCCTTAAAGAGTCTTAATCTGTGTATATTATACTATGTGCTTTATTCAGTTTGATTGCTCATTTTTGGACTGCTAGCTTTACCCTTGACTGAAGCTAATGGAATATCAAAGGCCCAGGTGGAAAATTCCACTAAATAGGGAAATTTTCTTGTGGATGAATCTACTTTTATGGTTCATATTGTTTATTGTTGATTTGACAACAAACCATAGAATTTTACATATCCAGATTGATTGTAGGGTGGTGCCACATGATTATTTGGGTATCATGAATATTTGGATGCCTCTGACTTGGAGTTTAGCCCCATTTTCCTGCACTGGAAGTAGATCATAGGGAGAGGCATCCTGTTGTGAAGTTAGATGTCCCTAAACTTCCCTGATGGGCAGAAATGAGCTGTCCAAAGGCAAGAACTGGTGTTGATGTAGGTAAACTGGATGACAGTATGCTATACTTAGATTTTCAATTTGAAACCAGTAGTTAAGATTGCATTTGTAGTTTACATAGTTTTGCACAAACACCAATATGTGAAACCTGTCTGAGAATTACTATTGATCTAGGCAAACAGTACATTTCAAGTGATCATTTTCAGCCTTTGGAAACATCTGTCAGATGAGTGGGATGATTAGCTTAGTCCTTGCGATCATAAACGAACTGTGTCCAGGATATTCATTTTGTTCACTTCACCAGCATTAATACATATAAGCCTGGCTCTGAACTTGAACAAAACATATTGCTTGTGAATTGACTTACATATCTATTGTGTGTGATCAAACACAAAGTGTTTTTAAAGACTTAAAACTCGAAGTTGTTTTTTTTTTTTCCCCCTTTGCTACTGTGCTAATGGTAGTCTCTTTACCATCCTTGTCCATGCTCTTTCTTCAGTATTTTTTCAAGCAACATGTTTTACAACTGAGTATGAGCCATGGCAGCTTAATTCCAGGCAACTCATTTCATCCTAGCCTGGTCTCAGCTTCTTTCTAGGATAAGATGCTGATGGTTTTAGGGCTGACAAGCTTGCATTTGCGGGGTTAATTTAATCATGCTGCCTGGAGAAACCTATGGTGAGTCACCTGAAGCACTGATCCCTGGTTCTAGATTGCCTTCCACCCCATCTATCTTACTTGACCTTGTACCTGCAGGAAACCCAGAGCAAAGACACCAAGAATTTCTTCCCATGGCTAAGTGAGCACCCCCACAATAACCACAAACATTAACTTTGCCCTAACGTTCCCCTAAATAGCCCTGGTGACATAATTGTTAAACACTCAGCTGCTAACGGAAAGGTTGGTGGTTTGAGCCCATCCAGCAGCTCTGCAGGAGAAAAACCTGGCCATCTGATTTCATAAAGATTACAGTCAAGTAAACCCTATGGGGCAGTTCTGTTCTGTCACATGGGGTTACTGTGAGTAGAAATAAACTTGACATCACTTAACAACAACGTTGCCATGGTTGTTGGCATCTGATTACTGTTTTTGGCCTGTGTATTAGTACTGCAACCACTAGTATCATTACTCATGCCTCCCACCTTCCTAATATCTTGGAGCAGAGGAATTTGAAATACTTGCCTTTTGGCACTACTAAATATTTTACCAGATAATGACAATGTCACCAGATAATGATATTTTTGAAGAAAGTTTCCATTTTTCTAAAATAAAGGTAAGTGTTTTGAGGGCTTTTGACGCTGAACAGTTATTTAATGACATCAAGTAAGTGGCCCAAAATGGCTCTTTAGAGGAACAGGATTAGGACAATATGTTGATTCTCAGAAAGAGAAAAATCAGTTTATGGAAGAGGATTATGGCAGTTTTTTTTTTTTTTTTTTTAACTCAAGCTAATCTTTATGAAAAAGTCTTCTGAATTTAAATTCTAGTCCAGAATTTATTCAGAAAATATGTTATTCCAAAGCTTCTTGCTTCTGCCATAACCCCCAGAAGATACTAGTAGAATTCCTTTAGCATTTCTTTAGGATATTTAAGTATATTTTACTTCAGAGAACAACTATAATAAGACTTATTTAGTTAAAGCTGTTAAAACTATGTGTATGTGATATGTGTGTTTCTCTCATTGCAAAATGTAATCCTTCGCCTCAAGCAAAACCACTGGAGTCTTGGTCTGGGAAGACATTATTTAAAGTGCTCTCTGGCTGGTTGGAATTCCTAGGGTTGCATTCCACTTAGCAGGGTCTGAGGCAGCCTGAGAGTTGAGATGTAGGAACCCCTTGATAATAAAATGTAGGTGATGAAGCCCACAACTCTGCCTGCAAACACAGCCATAGAACTGCCTTTTAAGTTTTATTTTCTCATGCAGGTCTTAGTTCTCACCAAGACAATTGTAGAAACTGCACCAATTGCTGCGTAAAAGCAGAGGAATATAGAGTTAGTTCTTTCTATCTTTCTTTCCTAACATAAGTAAAGCAATAGAACTTATAACTTCTATAATTCGGACATGAAATCAGAAGTGTCAGTCTTTGCGAGGAAGAGGTTTGGGAGATTCATTGATAACATCGCCTTAAAAACCAAAAAATCAAACCCGTTGCCATCCAGTTAATTCCGACTCATAGTGACCCTATAGGACTGAATAGAACGGCCCCATAGGGTTTCTACGGCTGTAAATCTTTACGGAAGCAGACTGCCACATCTTTCTCCTGCAGAGTGGCTGGTGGGTTCGAACCGCCAACCTTTCAGTTAGCAGCTGAGTGGTTCAACTCATGCACCACCTAGGCTCCTTAACATCACCTTAATTAGGTTATAAACATTCTGAAGGAAAATCACTTTTGCTTTCTTAAATATACTTATTTATGTAGAACTCTAACTTCAGTTATTTCAGTGATTTAAAATTTGGAGGGGCTAAGAAAAAGCAAAAGTAGGAAGTCTTAGGGTTTAGTGGTTGCCAAATAAGAATGTTCAGAAACCCAATTATTGAATAAATTCTCTGACTCAGTTTCTTCATCAACAAAATAAGTATATGTGAATCACAATTGTTATGAATTGTTATGTTTTTGTTTTTATTTTTTAAAAATGTTGGCATTTCCAGGGAAATATTGAGAGCAAAATATCATGTATTAAGTATTTTGGACAGTGAAAGTATTTTAAATGATTTACATTCTCCCCTTGGTCTTCACCCTGATCCTCAGTGATATATCTGGCCAACAGATGAACCTTCTTCTCATGAAGTCTTTGAATGCTCTGGAAAATTGCTGCTTCGACACCAGTCTTGAATACAAGTATGTTGATTCCATTTCCTCTCCAACGGATACTTTGAAACTGGTTCTTACTCAGCCATAAATCTTACAAGCTATGGTGCAGTATTTCTAAGACCTGTTCTTGAGTTCCTTTGAAAGAGTTTTCAGTAATACTGAAAAGCCTGTAATTAAAACCTGCATTTGTCCCAAAAACTACATTTCAGTTATGGACAGTTTGCTTCAATACAGTACAATAAATATTATTTTGTGGCTAAATCTTTATGTTATTAAGACCTTAGTTCTGTCTCGTACTTAATCATATGAGACATATACCAGAACCTAGATGTATGACTTAATCTTTATAAAAATCTGTTGAAACCATTCACTGAATTTGATTGGACTAAGAGATCCTTTGGCCCATGATGTAGATTTCCCTGTGAAATTCAAATGGCTGAGGAATCAAAATGGAAATAAACATAGGTTGGTTATACCAGGGATTTCAAATCTCCTCAGTAGTAAGACTCTTTTTTTTTTTTTTCTTACAGACCTCATGCTTTTTAAAAATTTTGTATATTAAACTAAATATCTTAAATATAATTTACATTATTTTCTCATTCTAGTAATGAAAGGTCTAATGGTATGAAAAGGAATAATTGGAAGAGCATACCTCAAAAACAGCATTAACTGGATTTCTTTAGTGCAAAAGTTAATGTTTCAGTTAGTCTTGTCACTTGTATGGGTGAATATATGGCTTTGTTAGGCTTTCTGAAATATTGACAACATTGAGGACCACTATTGTACCTTTTTGGACTTCCATGTATTTGGGAATCTCAGGTTTGGATCCTCTGGGGTTCATTGTTCCTAGGAAACACAGACTAGAAGCACTAACCTCCAATTTATTATACTTATTTCCCTTTTGCTATTGTGGACACTGTTCAAATATAAGTTAAATCAGTACATTTCTAGCTTTTAGGAGCTTATGATATAAAGCTACATTGATACCCTGTAGCCTATTGGTGTAAAAGTGTAAATGGTAGGAGTAGCTCTATGTATCAACTATTTCATCATGAGTAAGTAAAATCTATTGTACACTTACTTATTGGTGGTGTTTATGGGATCTTCTTTCAGATGCAGGCTAAGATTGGATGGGAACCATTGACACCCAGTTTATCAAGAGACACTTTAGGGATGAAGTCATGTCTTTTTTTTTTTTTTTTTTTTTAAATTATGTGACCCTAGTTGCAATCCCAATAATGTGACTAGCACACTTCCCCTTTCTATCCCAGGTTTCCCATGTCCATTCAACCAGCTCCTATCCCTTTCTGCCTTCTCATCCTACCTCTAGACCGGAGCTGCCCATTTAGTCTTGTATATCTACTTGAACTAAGAGGCACACTTTTCACAAGTATTATGTTTTATAGTCCAGTCTAATCTTTGTCTGAAGAAGTTGGCTTCGGGAATGGTTTTAGTTCTGGGTTAACAGAGTGTTTTGTTGGGGGCCATGTCTTCTGATGTTCCTCCAGTCTCAGTCAGACCATTAAGTCTGTTCTTTTTACATGAATTTGAGTTCTGCACCCCACTTTTCTCCCGCTCCATCAGGGACTCTCTGTTGTGTTCCCTGTCAGGGTGGTCATTGGTGGTAGCCAGGCACCATTCAGCTCTTCTGGTTTCAGGCTGATGGAGTGTCTGTTTTATGTGGCCCTTTTGTCTCATGGGCCAGTATTTTCCTTGTGTCTGTGGTGTTCTTCATTCTCCTTTGCTCCAGGTGGATGAAGTGACATCTTAAGAGTGTGGTTTAAATATGGGAAAAGAAAGAGTTTGGTGGCATGGTTGAAGTCTCTGCAATATAGAAAATGATTCAGGGAAAGTATAGGGCGATTTAGCTAAGGGCTGAAATTTTGGGCCTAATCCATATATTAGCGCTGCTACCTTTTAAAACTAAGGAGTAAGATTATTTCTGTTACATACACACACAACGTACCTGTCTTTCTTCCTCCTACCTCTCCCCCAAAGATGTTCATCTCTGTAGTTCGGGGTGTTATAAAATTGGGGAAATTTTTGCAGTTAAGACACTGTGATTTTCAGCCAGTTGGGACAATTAGGAGTGCCTTTCGTGGATTATCGCCATTAGTTTTCAGGAAGATTGTTTGCATGTAAGGAGGACCATGGTGGGGAAGGGGCAGGTAACTGAATTATCCACAGTATGAGTATTTATGGACTTAAAAAACCTCATTTGCCAAAGAATATTTGACTTTAAATTTTACCTTTTTTCTTGATTAATATCTTCCTAATGCAGACTTGGGAGAGGAAAGGGTGAACCTGGGTAGTTGACTAGTCCTCCAGAGGAAAGTACAATAGGGCCATTAGAAATTTTCTATCCATTTTGGAAAGTCTTGCTCATCTCTCAGCCCCACTGAAAGCTCAGGTCCTTCAAGAAACCCACCCTCTATCTTCTCCAAACTCCCAGTACTCCTACAGTTAGGGAAATTTAGTACTTTGTCGTTCCTAATGCTTTGCGGATATTAGTCCTTGTGTAGATCTCTCTTTAGTTTCAGGTTCAGCTATTCACTGAGAAGCCTCATACTGTACTAGACATTTTCACATCTGTTTTTCATGTAATTTAGTCCTTTTCACAACCTAAATACTATTACCAAAGCAGGTGTCATCATCACTTTGGTTTACAGATAAGGAAAATGAGTCTCAAAGACTAGGAGATTTGTTCAAGGTCACACCCTTAATAAGTGGCACAACTGGGGTGAACTAGGTCATCTGACTTCAAAGCCAATTTTCTTTCTCTTTCATAGTACTGTGTAGAGGACACATATCAATAGAAAACAAAGCAATTTGATACTTGACAATGCAGTGTTTATTTATTTATTTATTTGACATATGTTCCCACCATAAGGGAAAAAAAAAAAAGATTTTTTTTTTCTTCTGCTTTTCTAAATAGGCCCAGGCATGATGCCTGGCTCCTGGCATAAAGTATTCCCTTGTGTAATGAGATTGCAGGAGTCTAGGGTGGTCCTCCCTCCAGTGAAATAGTGGAAGCGTTACCAGGAGGTAGTTAATAGATCTGGGAGCGTGCTACTTCAAGTGATAGAATTCACCCAGAGCAAATTCACCACGCTTCCCTGATTTAATGGTCATGTCCCTGCTGGGGGAACCAAGCACCTGGGCTGATCCTGTCAGTGGTCCCATAACTTACATTTTGCTGCCATCTAGTGGATAGCTCTTTGTGCCACTGCAGTCGTCACAGCCCTAACTATCCATCAATGACCTGAGCTTTGGTTAATTACTATTGAGCTTTTACAAATACGATAACATTTGTATAGCACTTTGTAAAGGGCAGAGTGCTATACAAATGTTAACTCTTATTAGAAGTAATTATCAGATGGCCTAGTACTTAATCAGCTTGATAGCCTACAATAAACGAAAGAATCCAAGATTCATCTCTGGTTAATTTTAGAAAAGTATATCATTATATCTCAATATAGCAACACATATATCAGGATTTTCATGGTTTCAGAATTTCTTTTTGCCAATGATATTTTAATATACTTGAATGAGAGGCTTAAATAAGTAATGACATAATAGGGCACATAATTTTAAAACTCAAATTCTCTACAATTTCATAACATTTTTATAGGACATTTATGTTAGCAGTCCAAAAACCTCAATTTTATACCTAATATTGTAATTTATGTTTTTATTTCATTTTTCTGAGACACCAACACTCAACTCTGTTATTTTCAATGGACCGAAAGATGTGAAAGCTACCTCTGCCCGAGCTCTTCTTGATTTAGAGTTGGCATAAGTATCCAAGAAAGGCTAGAACAAGGTAAATATGTAGGAAATGCTTAGCTAAGTATCTGGGAGAAATCTTTAAGACTTAGGGCAAAATAAATACATTAAAATGCAGGAGCTTCAGAAATCAGAAGGAAACATCAATAAATAAAGCTTTAGCACTCCCTTCTTGGTGCTGGAAAATTGAGACAAAGTGGGAGGAGACGGTTTAGAAGGGCAATCGATGCATATACTTCAGCATATTTTATATTAGCACACATATGTACATACATAGGTTATATATTCACATATTACAAGAGTCAATTAACTACCATTGTAGTAATAAATAGAATAGTTAGTGAATGTTGACCTTACCCAAGAATAATTATATACTGTGGTGATTTTGAGGTAAATGTGGACTAGCAACCCACATGTTCTTTTGTAAGCCTTTGTATCAGTATGCCTTGGGGATGGTAAAGGAGGGGCTTCAGTCCAGGGGATTGAGATTTTTGGATGCCCAGAATAGCCGAGAAAGCAAAACACGAATACCTGCCTATTTATTTAGAAAGATGAGCCCCAATAATTACTTGCGTTTTGGGCGGGAATTCTTTTCCCACATAGATCCAACATCCCTCTTTCTTAAATTAGTCTGGTAAGAAATAGAAATTGAATCATCTTAACTGAAGCTTGGGTAATATGTTCAGTGAATTTTATCTCTCAGAAATTTTGCCTGCAACTAAATATAAGAATCAAGTCTTGTTTTTGTTTTCTGAAGATCTTCTGTCCACTTTAAACCCTCTTGAAATTCTGCAATTGGTCAGTTTTTCAGCAGTCATCAATTATTGGTTGAGTGCCTATACGTGTCAAGTAGTATGCTAGGTGCCATGATACCATGGTGAGGAAAACACAGAGCTTAGAGACTGGCGAGGGAGATAGTACTCAAACAGTCCCCCAAACAATCCTCACCGGATTTCGTAATTACAGTTGTATGAAGTAAAACTAGTACTGTGTGCTATAGAAGAATATGAACGATGTTCCCTGGTGGGCCAGGGAAGATGTCCTGAGAGAGGGACTTTTGATATCGTAAGGGTAAGTAGCTGTTAAATAGGCACAGAGGGAGCAAAAGTCAAATTTGCGAAAATCAAATTTTGTCTGTGTCTTTGCTCTAATTCTATCAAAGTTTTATATACGTCAATATAGAAGGATAGCCAAAAAATCTTCCCTTATAGATCCTAAGTTAAAACAAAGGCTTTAAATTT